TTTCCAGAACCGGTCTGAGTTCTGGAGCTGGGATGGGCTCCAGGAATCAGCTGCGTTCCAGAACTAAGCTGACTTCCACAGCTGGCTTGAATTCTTGAGCTTATCTGGGTCCCAGAGCTGGGCTGAGTTCCAAAGCTAGGCTGACTTCCAGAGCTGGTCTGCTTCCCAAAGTCTAGTTGAATACCAGAGCTCTCTGAGGCTGTGGTCTGGAGCTGGTACCTAGAACCTGGCAGGGTTTTAGAGGCGAATTGAGTCCCAGAGGCTGGTCGAGCTCCTGGGCAGCGCTGGGTCTTGGAGCTGGGCCTGCTGTCAGAACTAGACGGGGCTGTGGAGCTTAACTCTGTTGCTGCGATGGCCTGGGTCCCAGGACTAGGTAGGACTCCTGAGCTTAGTTGGATTCTGGAACTTGGCTGGGTCTCAGCCACTGTCTGTGTTTTGGAGCTGGCTGGGATTTCAGAACCAGCCTGTGCCCCAGAACTGAGCTGAGTTCTAGAGTTGAGTGCAGTGCCTGGACTGGATTGAGCTCTGGAGCTTGGCCAGGCCTTGAAATTGGTCTGCATTCTAGAGCTGACCTGCATTCTGCAGGAAGAGTGGGACTTGGCACCAAGCTGTGTGCTGGAGCTGGGCCTTGCTTCCAAGATGGATGGGGTTCCAGAGCTGGTCTGAATCCTGCAGTTGGGCCTGGTTGTAGCACTAGGTGAGGTTCTAGAGCTGGGCTCAGTCTCAGAGCTGGAATCGTCACTGGCGCTGGTCTGGGCTGCAGGGTGGGGATGGGTACTTGGATGCAACTGGGCTTGGGATCTGGACTGGGCAGTTGTGTGGACCTGGGTTTCTGAGCTGGTCTGAGTTCTTGAATAGGATTTGGTTTGGGAGCTGTCTCTGAATCCTGAGCTGGCTGGAGTTCCAGAGCTGGGTTGCTTCATGAATCTCACATGGGTTCCAAAATTAACTGGGGTTCTGGAGCTAGACCGAGTGTCCAGGTGTGGCTGCATTGTGGAGCTGTCCAGAGTTCCAGAGTCAGCTCGAGTTTTCCAGCAGGGCTTGGTCTCCGAACTAGCCTGGATTCTGGAACTGGGATTGGTCTCCAAGCTGGTCTGGGTCTTAAAATTTGTCTGGGTTCCAGAGCTTGGCTTGTTGTCAGGGCTCAGCTGGATTCTAGAGATGAGCTTCATCTCAGAGCTGGCCTGGGCTTCAGAGCAGGGCTTGGTCTCAGAGCTGACCTGAGTTCTAGAGCTGGGCTTGGCCTCAGAGGTGGCCTGAGTTCTAGAACAGGGCTTGGTCTCAATGCTGGGCTTGGTCTCAGAGCTTATCGGGGTTCTAGAGCTGGGCTTGGTCTCAGGGCTGGCCTGAGTTCTAGAGCTGGGCTTGGCCTCAGAGGTGGCCTGAGTTCTAGAACAGGGCTTGGTCTCAATGCTGGGCTTGGTCTCAGAACTTATCTGGGTTCTAGAGCTGGGCTTGGTCTCAAAGCTCATCTGGGTTCTAGAGCTGGGCTTGGTCTCAGAGCTGGCCTGGGCTCTAGAACAGGACTTAGTCTCAATACTAGGCTTGGTCTCAGAGTTCATCTGAGTTCTAGAGCTGAGCTTAGTCTCAGAACCCATCTGGGTTCTAGAGCTGGGCTTGGCCTCAGAGGTGGCCTGAGTTCTAGAACAGGGCTTGGTCTCTATGCTGGGCTCATTCTCAGAGCCCATCTGGGTTCTAGAGCTGGGCATAGTCTCAGAGCCCATCTGGGTTCTAGAGCTGAGCTTGGCCTCAGGGCTGGCCTGGGCTCTAGAACAGGGCTTGGTCTCAATACTGAGCTTAGTCTCAGAGTTCATCTGAGTTCTAGAGCTGAGCTTAGTCTCGGAGCCCATCTGGGTTGTAGAGCTGGGTTTGGCCTCAGAGGTGGCCTGAGTTCTAGAACAGGGCTTGGTCTCTATGCTGGGCTCAGTCTCAGAGCCCATCTGGGTTCTCGAGCTGGGCATGGTCTCAGAGCCCATCTGGGTTCTCGAGCTGGGCATGGTCTCAGAGCCCATCTGGGTTCTCGAGCTGGGCATGGTCTCAGAGCCCATCTGGGTTCTTGAGCTGGGCATGGTCTCAGAGCCCATCTGGGTTCTAGAGCTGGGCATGGTCTCAAAGCTCATCTGGGTTCTAGAGCTGGGCTTGGTCTCAGGGCTGGCCTGAGTTTTAGAACACGGCTTGTTCTCAATGCTGGGCTTGGTCTCAGAGCTGGCCTGGGCTCTAGCACAAAGCTTGGCCTCAGATCTGGGCTGGATTCTAGAGAAGGGCTGGGTTCTGGAGCTGGGCTGGGGCTCCAAATTGGATTGAGCTCTAGAGAGGAACTTGGCCTCCGATCTGGGCTGGGTTCTGGAGCAGGGCTGGGGCAGGGGGCGGGGCTCCAGGCTGGGGCTGTGCTGGGCTCCCCCAGGGCAGACTAGCCACAGGCCTCCCTGGCCTCGCTGATGGCGGCCCACACCTCCACCACAAATTCGTCGGGGAAGGCGAACTCGCCCAAGACGGAGTCTAAACAGCGTGCAAACTCCTGGGCGCTCACTGTCTTCTTGGACGTCTCCACCATGGTGGACGCTGCGGGCCATGCCGGAGGGGTTGTCAGTGAGGGCACTTCCCATTCCAAACTTCCCGCTGGGACCCCTGCCTCCTCCCGTAGGCTGCCCTCCCGCCAGGGCCCCCCAGCTTACCCTGGCCCCTTACCCAGCTCGGGGTCCCGAATGCCCATGTAGCTTTCCAGCAGGTCATCAACCTTCTGGGATGCCTCTTCCTCAAACTCACTGGGCTGAGGGCACAGGAGAGGGAAGTCAGGGGTGAAAAACTTTGAAGCCCTCCAGCCCAGCCCCTCCAGACCCCCACCCCTAAGGTTAGGGTGGACTGGACCCTCACATGAGTCAGTAGTGCTGGTACCCACATCATTGCCCCACCTTTCAACGAAGACCCATTTTGCAGGCAGAGAAACCGAGGCTCCGAGAAGTTCTTGCCCAAGGCCACACTGACTCAGTGGCAGAACTGCAGGTGCAGAAGCCTGGGAAGAACCCCTCCCCTTCACTCACCGCCTCCTCCACTGTGGCAGCCCCCCCAGAACGAAGCCGCAGGGTCTCCCTCCCACTGGTCACTTTCGCCTCTATGGGACATTTGCTGGACCGACTTCTCTGGCCAATCATATCTGGAGGGAACAGAGTGAGGGATGGCCATGGGTTCTGGGTGGAGCCACATCTTTGTAAACCCTGGGAGGCCACCAGACGAGCCTTTCTAGAATCTTCCTCCCCTTCAAAGTCCTCCTTTGCGGCGAATCTCCAGAGACCCTTTCAAGATTCCACACTTCCCGTCCCCAGCAAACTAAATTACAAGTCCAGAATGAGGTGTAATGGAGCAAGTTTAGAACTAACGTTCCAGTCCCATGCCCTCATTCTCCCTCTTCTAGGGACTGCTTGGGACCCTCCTTGTGGCAGGAGCCTCAATCTAGGTATGTTCTTGTCTGGGTAATCCCAGTTACTTGGGAGGCTAAGGCAGGACAATCACTTGAACCTGGGAGGCAGAGGTTGCGGTGAGCCGAGATCGCGCCACTGCACTCCAGCCTGGACAACAAGAGTGAAACTCCATCTCAAAAAAAGAAAAATATTAAAAATTAGCTGGCACGGCCAGGCGCAGTGGCTCACGCCTGTAATCCCAGCATTTTGGGAGGAGGCCAAGACGGGTGGATCACCTGAGCTCAGGAGTTTGAGACCAGTCTGGTCAACCTAATGAAACCCCATCTCTACTAAAAATACAAAAATTATCCTGGCATGGTGGTACACGCCTGTAATCCCAGCTTCTCCTGAGGCTGAGGCAGGAGAACCTCTTGAACTGGGAGGCAGAGGTTGCAGCGAGCTGAGATCGCACCACTGCACTCCTGCCTGGGCAACATATTGAGACTCCGCCTCAAAAAAAAAAAAAAAAAAAAGGAAGAAAGAAAACTTTTCTCATATTCTCATTCTCTAGAATCCACCATGACCTCAAAGCACTACTTTAAAAGTTCCCAGGCTGCGCGCAGAGTGGCTCACGCCTATAATCCTAGCACTTTGGGAGGCCGAGGCGGGTGGATCACCTGAGGTCAAGAGTTCGAGACCAGACTGGTAAAGACGGTGAAACCCCATCTCTACTAAAAATACAAAAATTAGCCAGGCGCAATGGCGGGTGCTTGTAATCCCAGCTACTCGGGAGGCTGAGGCAGGAGAATCGCTTGAACCCGGGAGGCGGAGGTTGCAGTGAGCTGAGATTCAAGATCATGCCATTGCACTCCAGCCAAGGCCCACAGAGTGAGACTCCCTCAAAAAAAAAAAAAAAAAAAAAAAAGCTCCCAGCCTGGCTACAAAGTGGTTCTGGAGGCCTCCTCCTCCCACTCCACTTTACCCAGTCTCTCCCCCACCCCTCCCCCACAGACTGGTTCCATAACAATCTATTAATAGAAACTACCAGTTTCTGTTACCCTGCCAGGAGCTAGTAGCCATGCAGCGGGTGCACCTAGAACCTTCCAGCCTGTCCCATCCCCGACCCTCCTCCACTCCCGGCATCCGTAGGACCCACTTCGGGAAGAGCTCCCGCCAGCCCACCCGCCTCACCGAAGGCCCTCTTGGGCTGCACCAGGCGCAGGGTGAAGGGCTGGGACTTGGGCAGCTCCCGGAGCATCTTGGCCACCTCGTAGTGGCGGCAGCCCACAATGGAGTGGTCGTTGATGGCTTCGATGCTGTCACCCACGCACACTGCCTCGATCCGGTTGATGATACTGCCTTCCTTGATTCTCTGCAGGGATCCAGCGTCGCTGGCAGGGCAACCCCAGCCACCCGCCTCCAATCCCCAGAACCCACGTCGACCCAGAGTGTGGGGGCAGTTGCTGGACCCCAGGAGGCCACCTGCCCACCCCCTCCCGGGCACCTTGATGAAGGCGTAGCCGGCCCCGTTGTCCGTGATGGTCAACCCCAGAGCGTCCTCTGTCTTAGTGACCTCCACCTCCTTGGTCTCGCCTCGCACGTGGGCAAAGATGAAATCCTCCAGGCCTATCTGGCCCCCTAGGAGCTTCTGCATGTCCACTTTGTGGCTGTTGAGGGTGCAGAATAAAATCTTCCCGGGGGAGAAGGAACGCAGAGGTAGCCAGGGCACGCATCCTCCCACGCAGCCGCCCTGTCTGCGCAGGCCCCTGTTCCCAGCGACCAGGATCCCAGCCCATGGGAAAGGGCAGGGCGTGGGACCTCCCGAGAATGGAGAGAGGAGGGAGAAGGCGGCTTCCGGCAGGTGGAGACCCCTCTCCATACCTCCAGGACCTCCAGCCCCCAGACCTCCAGGTTTAATCTGCTGGCGCCCTCTGGGGGCTGCAGACCAAACGGACCCGGATTGGAAAAATGCCCAGGAACCCCCCAACCACACCACGGCCTCAGACTTCCCATCTCCAAGGGGACCATCTGGAACCCCAGATGCCAGCTATTCCCAGGAAGCACAGAGGAGCTTCCCCGAGGGCTGGGGTCCGCTCCAAGCGAGGTCTGCGCAGAGGATTTTCTGGAATATCTAGGGGTCCTCTAGACCTAAGACCTCCCCATCTTTTGCGCAGAGCGTGCAAAGGGGAACCCTGGGGTGTGGCACCCCGTTCTCTGAGGGCTGCGTCTCTGAGATCCGGCGATTAGGCAGCCACCCCGACGTCTGGGATCCGGGGATCTGGGGTCTGCCGTCCAGCGTTCAAGCTCCCCACCCCTCACCACATCAGGCGGATGGTCTCGGGCGCGGGTGTCCGGGGTCCTTACCTCGGTGGGCGCGATCCCGAAGGCCTCGGCGATCTTGGCGTACAGCTCGCGGACGTTGGTGAAGCCCTCGATCTTGCCCGTGGGGCTCCCGTGCGCCAGCTGCGTGCGGAAGACCAGGCGCGGGC